AAGGGTCGTTCGACCCCCAAAGGGGTCGTGACCCACAGGTTGAGAACCACTGCCCTAAAACAAACTGTCTAAAATTTGTTTAACCCCTTCACTCCGAACGCACGCAAATGTGCGGCCTCTCAGCGTCTGGGCCTTGACGTCGAGCAGCCTGCAATTAGAAATTACATATGTGCTGAGAGAGTGTACCCTGCGCGCTCCCCACACATATGTCCCCGACTCCCGGAAAGGTCCCGATCTCCCCTTTCGATCGGGACCTTTTCTGATCATGTGACTGCCATGATGACCAATCACAGCAGTCACATGACCCTAGAACCCCGCCCTGCCTCCCAGCTTCTGAAACTGTTAAAGGGGCGGGAGGCGCCCGTGACGGGAGTCATTTTGGGTGGGGGGCCCATGGAACCCAGGTCACTTTGGAGAGGTGGGGTGACCCCTGTCTCAGCTCCCCATATCCCTCTTATGTGTAAGTCACCCTGTGCCTGTTAGGGGTACAGGGTCATCTGTCCTAATACTGGGGTGGGTGGTTGTTGATTGTTTAATGCCATGTGGTTGCATCCAATTGTTCTATTGTGTGTCTTGCTTGGGAGCAAACTATTATGGGATGTATGTGTATTAGTTTAGTGGGGGGGTGTCTTCAGCAGCCCTCCCTCCTGATGGGACTGTCTGCTGGTGTGAAGTTTGAATACCTGTGTGTCTCTTGTTGCTAAATGTAGTTTGCCCCACTCTGTGTCATTGTGCAGGGAGGGGGGATTGTCCCCTGAGTGTATAAAGAGTTCCATGTTCAGACAGACTGTTGTAATCTAGTCTTGTTTGGTCGACTGTGGTGTCTGAAGTCGGCGTTCGGAAAGGGAAGCGGTATTCTAACGGATGTACTCAGCCCAGGAGGGGTAATTTCCCTTACAGTGCCGACACGAAAAGGTTAAAAATGAATCATTCATCGTATAGCCAAGATCGGCCTTGTGCCCCACGTGATCTGAAGAATATCACGCTACAGTATGCAAGAGATTAGTGAACACTTTTCATTTCTTCCTCCTTCTTATGTATATAATGGATATGATGACACCTTGCTCATATACAGATGTTACCTAATATTAAGTGTTCCTGCATGGCGACCACTTCCTGTTATCTCACATATATATTCTTATTATTATAGCCAAATTTCCCACCCTAACTCCTCCCACAGTTTTTACACTACATAGACAGTAATATACCGAAACGTGCGGATTGTTCCCGATTGGTGTGCTATTACTTTGTGGAACGTTTTGCCAAATGGTTCACGAAATATCGGCGTTTTTGTAGTGAAATTGGTCCCATAGGAATGAATGGCGCAATGTTCAACACTAGAGTGGGAGCTGACAAAAGCTAGAGTGTGAGCTGAAAAATCAGGACATGATTTCTAAACTGCCATCACTCCCTCATTTTCAAGCCCATCCACAAAAATCTTATATCAAAACGTTCAGCTATCCCTGCTGCCACTAAAAATGTCCACGGCTAAGCCATAGTCCTGATATTTTCACAATATGACTATTTGCTTGCAACTCACGCCGCCCATTGACATTCATTGAAACTCCACTCTAGCCACCTCAAATTTGAAGGGCAATTTCTAAACTGCGACTGTGCCTTCATTTTTAATATCATATGTACTCTCCAGCGCCTCAGGATATGCACAGCCAAAAGGGTAGCCAAGGGAACCAGGACAGCGACAACCAAAGGAAATGTTCCAGGGGTGCAGCCCTCCTCAGACTGGGAAATCAGCCACTGGATAGAGAGAAAACAGGTGGCGCACACACCTAGTGCATTATCCAAGGTTTATTGTAGGAGTGAAAGAACAATAAAAACATACTCACAGACGAAGCATGTATCTAAAAAGCATAGAAAAATGACAATGGCCACAACGGCGGGCAAGGTGTTCTCACTGTCAGTGCAGTCAAACTGACGCGTTTCGGGGACGAATCCCTTTCCTCAGAGCTGATGACCAACCTCTGATGCTGATGTATGGTGTATGGACAGAAAGAGCCTCGCTGTCCATACACCATACATCTGCATCAGAGGCTCGTCATCAGCTCTGAGGAAAGGGATTCGTCCCCGACACGCGTCAGATATTTGACCGCACTGACAGTGAGAACACCTTGCCCGCCGTTGTGGCCATTGTCATTTTTCTATGCTTTTTAGATACATGCTTCGTCTGTGAGTATGTTTTTATTATTTCATTCCTACAATAAACCTTGGATAATGCACTTGGTTTTGTGCGCCACCTGTTTTCTTCATTTTTAATATTTATATATCACCAGTTCCGTCCCCCGTATGTCCGTATGTCCCGATGTCGCAGGGAACGGAACTCGGAAGATGGATTGCCAAGGACACTGCAGGAGGGACATCGCGGGAGCGCAGGACAAGGCAATTTCTAAACTGCGACTGTGCCTTCATTTTTAATATTTCAGAGACATACTACGATTCTCACAATATAAAGCTCTTCGGTGTAGGATTTATCATTTTTAAACTACAACCATTTGAAGATGGCAACCGCCAGTGAAGTGAGCAAGTTGGAGCAGTTTGTTTTTCACCGATCTTCTCTGCCCTTGCTGTAGAGTGAGTAGCCATAGGAACCCAGGTGTGTGAGCAGGCAGCAGAGTGACAAAAGCTAGAGTGTGAGTTGTAGACTACTGGTGGAGGCAAGAACACTTCACACAATTTCCCCAGAAATTGTAGCTTTTCTAGTTATTAAATGTAGTAGTTAGTCACATTCAACTAGAGTTGTCGAAGACATTTGGCTACTTTTACAAGCAGCTTCTTTGGTTCTAATGGGTGCCGGGATCATACACCAGCATTTATACCACGCAGATTCCCCAGTCACCTTAACGTACTAAACACCATGGAATGTACAAGGCAGATGTTCATTGTTCAAGACCAGAGATTCAAGTTTGGGTCAAGGTGGATATTTACTCAAGCCTTGCATGTCCGCCATTTGGGAAAGTCAAGTTAAAGCGGAACTAAACCCCCAGACCAGGGGCGGACTGACTATTTGGAAACTTGGGCACTGCCTGAGGGCCCGAGGTCAGTAGGGGGCCCCATGAGATGCCCCTGCTACCTTTTTCATAGGCTTTTTGGAGTTTGGGCAAGGACACAGGGGCCCCATGATCCCCTATTGCCCGGGGGCCCCATGAGTTGTCAGTCCGCCCCTGCCCTAGACTTAACTATTACCCAAACAGCTTTACATTCAAGGCATGCTTCTAGTGTTCAACATCAAGGTTGTCAGTGTGCTTATGTTTGGTCTCAACTGGTCAAGTCATTAAATGGCTGGTGCCATAGCTGATCCCATGTGCAGGACCATGGCAATTGCACAGCCAAACAGGTAAAGATGCCACCCTCCTTGGCTTTAAAGGCTAAAAGGGTTTAATCCCATTTGCCACTACACCCAAACCCAATTACTGTGGGGGGGGGGGGTTTGAACTGTGTCAGGAGGCATAGCATGACCGATTATAGAGGCATGTAACTGTGCCAGCCCCCTCCCTTTAAAAGTCAACTCTCACACCAGCTTTTTGACAGTGTGTATTGGAGTTGGATTCACCCATCCTATTAACAGTGAACAGTCCTTTTCAGGGATACCTGTTTGTTTGTGACAGCAACAACTTCTCTTGATGATTACCTGCTGTGTCCACCTTTTCCTGTTTTTGCTGGGGTGTTTTATTGAGGACAGTCACTAAGGGATGTTTTTCTGTTTGTCCTAGTGACCATTTTTAGGGGGATAGAAATTGATGGAAAATCATAAATGTCAAAGTTGTCAGAATTACAGGAAATCTAATCTGTCCAAATTTAAAAAAATGCTTTTAGATACAATTTAGGTAATGCAGATTTAGTAAATAAAACAAATAGCAAACAGTATCTAAACAAAGGTGAACTATTTTGAAAGAAAGTTGTGTTAATCTGCACAAATTTAAAACTCAGTGGTTATTCTATTTGGTGCACCACCCAGACAACAAAAAAATTGCAGAAGAGCAAAAATCAAGTGGCTGCCATGTAGCCTCCCCAGCGGTTTGATTACGTCCATATTTCTGTGCTCAAAGCGGTACTTTTTTTGCATGTAAATTATGTATTTTTTTATTGTAGGCCTGTAATTTTTAGGAATAACTCACTGAAATCTGTCTGAACAAGAGTCTATTAAACATCCCGGGGATGATAAAATTTGAAACATGAAATCATAAATTATAATTTAATAAATAATCATAAAAAATAATAATATAATAATAATAAATTTAATTCAATAATATAATCAAACCAAAAACATTGAAATTTGAAATAGAGCGCCAAGTTCGCACATCGCTGAGCAAAGTCGCAGAATCGTTTTCAGTGTCTGATGAGGAATTTCCCCCACGAATCATTATCACTCAATTCTGCAAGTGGTTCTGATTTACTATCGCTGTTCTCTAGCCGGTCTAAAACCGCTTTTGACTTAAAGGGACGCTTTTTGGACGCCATGGACGTTTCTCAGTTTCCAGGCAGAAAGAACAGTAAAAATGCAGGCAGGGCGCCGGACAAAGCACTCGGGACAAAATGTATGTGAAATGGTTTGATACAGGAATGTTATACTATGTGATTTTAGTGTATTTAGTGAATGTCACATTTTTAAATTTTTGAATTTCCCGCCGGTTCCGTCCCCTGAACGTCCCGTCGCTCGCTGGGAACAGAACCCAGAAGACAGATGCCGACATCGGCCAGAGGAGATGGCCAGGGACACTGCAGGGGGGACATCGCGGGAGTGCAGGACAAGGTAAGTGATCGAGGGATCCCAGAGCAACGCTGCAGGGTAATCCTGAGTATAGCTCGGGGTTATTGCTTCGGGTACCGAAAGTTAACTCCGAGCTACACTTGGGAATACCGCCAGGGGGGTTAAGTACACATGGACCAAAATCCCAAAAAAAGGCTTTCCACTGCTTTGTCAAACCCATAAGCAAGACATTTCTGCACACTGCACTGATAAAATAGATTTGTTATATTCTAAAAAATCATTTTACTAAAAACATGTTCCACCTCCTTGTTAGAGTTCCTAAAGCATTCAAAATATCTTTGTTCCTCAACGTGTAGACAAACGGGTTGAGCTTTGGTATCACAGCTGTATAGAACAACGACAACAACTTGTCCAGTTCCCTAGAATGCTCAGACTTTGGTTTGGTGTACAATATAATGATTGGACCAAAGAATAATATCACTGTGATGAGGTGGGAGGAGCAACTGGAGAAAGCTTTGTGTCGCCCCCTTGATGACTGAATATCCAGTATGGCGGAGATGATAGATACGTAGGAAGTTATAATAAATAAAAAAGGCAAAGTTACCAGCAATACAATCTGAAATACCAGAAGTATGTTTCTGCCTGTAGGATCATTGGAGGAAATGGCGAACAATATTTTCTGATCACAATAGAAGTGGTCAACATTTCGGGTGGAACAGAAAGGTAACAGAGATGTAACTATCACATTGATTGCTGCATCAATCACAGATGTAAGCCAAGTGGACAGAGCCAATGAAAGGCATACATCTTTACTCATCAGTAAGGAATATTGTAATGGCTTACAGATTGCTACATATCGGTCATAGGACATGGAGGTCAACACAAAAAATATCAAAAGCACCCGACAATGCAAAGAAATAAACCTGAGCCATACAGGCAGAGAACGACATCCGGTGGTCATGTGTTAGGAGTATGGAGAGAAGTTTTGGAAGAGTTACTGAAACATGTAAAACATCAGCTATGGCAAGGTTACCCAAGAAGAAATACATTGGAGTATGGAGCTGAGGAACCAGACCCACCAGTAGAGCAATGGTCATGTTTCCAACAACGGTCGTCAGATACATCAGTAGAACTGCGGTAAAAAGAAGACATTGTCCGGTTTCAGAGGTGGATAATGCTAGAATGTAGAAGACATTTCCTGTTGTGTTCCAGCAATTCTCCATCCTTCCTGCCTAAACTAAAGAAGATGTAATTATGTTTCTTTTTTTGCATTTATTTGAAATAACATCTACTTACTATTATGTCTATATTTATTTAATATGAATAATATACTTTCCATCATGTCTGGGTCATGGTATGTCTAGTGGCCGTTAGCCATATTCAACTGGATCATTAACCTCCCTGGCGGTATTCCTGAGTGTAGCTCGGGGTAAAATGTCTGTACCAAAAGCGGTAACCCCGAGCTACACTCGGGCTTACCATGCGGCACTGCCTAGGAAGTCCCTGCAGCACTTACCTTGTCCTTCGCTCCCGCGATGTGTCCCCTGCAGCGTCCCCAGCCATCTCCTCCGGCTGATGCCGGCATCCGGCTCCTGTGTTCTGGTCCCTGGGACGGGACGTACGGGCGCCGGCGCCGGCGGGAAATTTGAAAATTTTAAAAAAATTTCATTTTTTTCAAAACGATTTTACATAGTAAAACATTGCTGTTTCAACCCATTTCACATACATTTTGTCCCTACTGCTCTGTCCTGTCCCCTGTCTGCATTTTGAATGTTCTTTCTGCCGGGAAACTGAGAAACGTCCATGGGGTCCAAAAAGTGTCCCTTTAGGTCAAAAGCGGTTTTAGACCGGCTAGAGAACAGCGATAGTAAATCAGAACCACTTGCAGAATTGAGTGATAATGATTCGTGGGGGAAATTCCTCATCAGACACTGGAAACGATTTTGCGACTTTGCTCAGCGATGTGCGAACTTGGCGCTATATTTCACATTTCAGTGTTTTTGGTTTCATTATATTATTGAATTAAATGTAATATTATTATATTATTATTTTTTATGATTATTTGTTAAATTATAATTTATGATTTTGTGTTTCAAATTTTATCATACCCGGGATGTTTACTAGACTCTTGTTCGGACAGATTTTAGTGAGTTATTCCTAAAAATGACAGGCCTACAATAAAAAAATACATATTTCCATACAAAATAATGGTATCGCTTTCAGCACCAAAAATCGGAAATAATCATACCGCCAGGGAGGTTAATGTTGAAGATGTTTCGTAGCTCACCCAAACCATTTCCTCAGTTCCAATGAGTGTCAGGAATATATTCCAGCATTTCAATTTTGCTCCACTGACACCCAAGCAGCAAGATATTTCAAGTGTAAATTGTGGTGCTGCGCTAATAAACTATATGTGAACCCCAATACGTGATATTCAATGAATGGGTAAACAATATCCCCCTATAAATCAATTAAATCAAAATATGACATATACCCCAAAATATAACTCTACACCACCTCTGCTAAGTGAGTACATAAACAAAAAATTCCACACATACATACACAATAATTATACACATATATTAAATGCTGTGATGCCGAATGAACTCCTGAACAGCAACACCAGTGAATAAATAAAGTGACATAAACATTTATGTCTATATGCAGTATATATACACTGTATATATATATTTATTTATTAAAATATATTTTGAAATATATTGAATATGGCTAAAATTGTAGCATAGTCAATATATTTAGGAAGAATATTTTTATAATATATTTCAACTATATTTTTCTTCCATGTGGGTATAAGCCTTCGAAATGGGCACTTTTGAATTTGCAAGTTGGAGTCCCATAGACTTGCATTAGGTTTGATGTTCGCAGCGCGAACTTTTGGTCCGTTCGAATGTTCTACCGTGAACCGAACCAGGGGGTGTTTGGCCTGTCACTATTGTTAACCTCCTCGGCGGTATGATTCTTTCCGATTTTTTGTGCTCAAAGCGGTACCATTTTTTTGCATGGAAATATGTATTTTTTTTATTGTAGGCCTGTAATTTAGGAATAACTCACTGAAATCTGTCCGAACAAGAGTCTAGTAAACATCCCGAGGATGATAAAATTTGAAACACAAAATCATAAATTATAATATAATAAATAATCATAAAAAATAATATAATAATAATAAATGTAATTCAATAATATAATCAAACCAAAAACACTGAAATGTGAAATATAGCGCCAAGTTCGCACATCGCTGAGCTCAGTCGCAGAATCGTTTTCAGTGTCTGATGAGGAATTTCCCCCACGAATCATTATCACTCAATTCTGCAAGTGGTTCTGATTTACTATCGCTGTTCTCTAGCCGGTCTAAAACCGCTTTTGACGTAAAGGGACGCTTTTTGGACGCCATGGACTTTTCTCAGTTTCCAGGCAGAAAGAACATTCAAAATGCAGGCAGGGCGCCGGACAAAGCACTCGGGACAAAATGTATGTGAAATGGGTTGAAATAGCAATGACAGCAAAAATTACATTTTTTAAAAAAATTCTAATTTCCCGCCCCCGTACGTTCCGATGTCACAGGGACCGGAACACAGAAGCCGGATGCCGGCATCGGCCGGAGGAGATGGCAGGGGACACTGGAGGGGACAGATCGCGGGAGCGAAGGACAAGGTAAGTGCTGCAGGGACCCCCAGAGAACGCAGCATGGTAAGCCCGAGTGTAGCTCGGGGTTACCGCTCTTGGTACTGAAATTTCACCCCGAGCTACACTCGGGAACACCGCTAAGGAGGTTAAATAACAAGCCCCCCTAGCATAAGAAGGTGACAGGTACCGTATTTGAAACGTATAAGATGACTGGGCGTATAAGACGACCCCCCTACTTTTCCTGCTAAAATGTAGTGTTTGGGCTATACTCGCCGTATAAGACTACCCCTCTTCAATGCACACCAGTGGGAGGAATAGTGCCCCATCATTGATGTCAGTGGGAGGAATAGTGCCCCATCATTGGTGTCAGTGGGAGGAATAGTGCCCCATCATTGGTATCAGTGGCAGGAATGGTGCCCCATCATTGGTATCAGTGGCAGGAATAGTGCCCCATCATTGGTATCAGTGGCAGGAATAGTGCCCCCATCATTGGTGTCATTGGGAGGAATGGTGCCCCATCATTGGTGTCAGTGGGGGGTGGAATAGTGCCCCATCGTTGGTGTCAGTGGGGGGGGGGGAAGTGGGGGGAGGAATAGTGCCCCATCGGGTGTCAGTGGGAGGAATAGTGCCCCATCGTTGGTATCAGTGGGAGGAATAGTGCCCCATCAGGTATCACACTTACCTGCTGCTCCGGTCAATTTTCGTGGGGCCCTCGGTGTCCGCCCCCTCGGGGTGATTGGCCGCCTGTGTGCCTTTCCTGACTGAAATCACCGGTGAGGAGGCAGAGCCAGCCGCACTAACATCTGGCCGAACTGAAGAACACCGGATCGTCGTGGGAATCCAGGAAGGACATCAGCCCCTGCAAACCCCCTGTACTTAATGCCGCAGCCCCCCTAACATGTGTACCGGCGTATAAGACGACCCCCGACTTTTGAGAAGATTTTCAAGGGTCAAAAAGTCGTCCTATACGCCGGCAAATACGGTACTTTTTATGGTGACATCAGGGGTTTATTAGGCCCCAAATGCCCTACACCACAGCTAATTAAGCAAGGGCTGGCATTTTGCATTTAATTTTACAGAAAATTACAGCAGCTGCTGAAAAAGAAAGGTCATTTTTAATAATATTAAAGTGGTTGTAAAGATAAAATGTTTTTTGTCTTCATGCATTCTATGTATGAAGGTAAAAAACCATTTGTGGTCTGCTCTCCTCCAAGCGCCCCCTTATACTTACCTGAGCCTGAACTCGGTCCAGTGATGTGCATGAGAGCAGCGGCTCTCTTTACTTTCATTGCTCTCTGCCTCCTCATTGGCTCAGAGACACAGCAGGAACCATTGGCTCCTGTTGCTGTCAATCACAGCCAGTGAGGAGAGGTGAGGGGTGGGACGAGATGTGCTCTGTGTGTGAATGGACACACAGAGCGGGGCTTGGGAGCAAGCACACTCCAGTGCCCCCATAGCAAGCTGCTTGCTGTGGGGGCACTGCTCAGGTAGGCGATGCCAAGAGCACCAACGGGGGACTGGAGAAGAGGAAGATCAAGGCTACTCTGTTCAAAACCATTGCACAGGCCAGGTAAGTATGAAATGTTTGTTATTTTAATGAAAAAAAATCAAGTTTTACAACCATTTTAAATTAAAACACCACCAGGGGCAGACTGACAACTCATGGGGCCCCCGGGCAATAGGGGATCATGGGGCCCCTGTGTCCTTGCCCAAACTCAAAAAAGTCTATGAAAAAGATACAAGGGGCATCTCTTGGGGCCCCCTACTAACCCCG